TAAATACCAGGTACACACATACACACACACACACACACACACAAATTTCCATTCCCCCTGAAGTCCCTATAAACACTCTTTTGTGTCTCACCTTGAAATCCTCATCAATCAAGAAGTCACAACCAATTAGGTCAAAGTAACCAAGTTTGCAGTCCAGCTTGGCTTTGACGGCTTGAAAGCACTGCATGATAATATGTTGCATCCTTTTCTGCAGAATAACAAAACATTCAGGTAGGATGCAGTTTAATTATTGAATACTCAAATTAAATGTTGTTCCTCTGTTTTAGAGTTCATATTTGACTGACAAAATGTTTTATTGTGTTTTGAGCTCCAAGATTATACTGGCCTTAATTTTACACATTTTTATTTTACTATTTGGTTTCATCTTTCTCAATGTATCTGATTCTCTTTTAATATTTCATATACTCCCAAAACCGTTGTTACCATGACAATGGTATATCTGCATCCTTTCAAGCAATTTGAATAAATCTACATGCAGGCATTACTTTAAAAGATACATGATTACTTTAAAGATACATTAAGATTAACATATATTATCAGTTAATTATTCTTAATAACAACTTATATAAAACTATAAAACTGATTTGAGCATATTGCTCTGTTGATTTGTGAATAATTATCAAACTCACTGCAAAAGGACCCAGAGCCCAATCTTTAGGCAGACACTTTGGCAGCATGTAAGTCTCATTAATGTATATATTGAAGCACTCCATGGACCAAACGGTTTCCTCTTTTAGCAGGCTGTAGAGAGGATTTTTCTTCTGCATGTACTGAAACAAAGTCGAAATTGTAGTATCTTACAACCTGAATGCAAGCAATATACATATTAATATTAATGAAGGTTTAAAATACACATTATCTTACTTGATTGGTCAGGTGGGCTGTTATATTGTCAGAGTTTGGGTCATAAAGGTTACATGTCAATCGGATGTAACCATGGCGAAAAAACACCATGTATGGCGAAGTGGAAGCAATTAGAAAGTATGACCGCACATCAAATTTCCGTCCTTTTAGTAGCAAAGGGTTCTGGATGTACCTCAAAAGAATCAGAAAAGAATAGAAAAAATCATTAGTACTGATTAAATATGTTTTTTTTTGTATCATATGTGAATATGTATCAGGCATTTTGTATTATTTAATAAATAACATTAAATATATTATTCTTTATTAATATATTAATTTAATATATAATGTTAAATTATTTAATTAGTATTAATTTAACTAGTATTTTTAAATATTTATTTACAAATTGTTGCGTTAATTTTGTACACTCTTTAATATTGCTGCAGATTTCAGTGAATTGGTTGCCATGCTGTTCTAACATCCTCAATAATAAAAGAGAAATCTTTGCAGTTTTGCCTCGCTAGCATGACAGAAACTAGCCCATGACCTGAACGCTGCCTCCCTGCAGACCAGCAGCTTGTTAACTTACTCTGTGGTACAGCCACTGTATTTTGTAATGCTGACTGATTTCTGAATGAAAAGTTTAGAATGTGGACATCAAGATCTTTTTGATTGATGCCTGTGTCGTTGGCCATGGATTCGGCAGGATTATTGGACGCTGCAGCCATGATTCACAGAATGATTACATATAATTAGAGCATGTGACCTTTTGAAATGGTCAGCTTTACTCACTGTTGAACAATCCGAGCTTGTGGCAAATTGAAAAGTGACTTCCTGTTGGACTGCTGCTCTATTGTGTTCTGCAGTCGTTCTCTGAATGCTGTGATGTCTTCTGGTGTCCGCAGTAGAAAAATACCACGGCCTTGGTTAAGGCCTGTGGGTTTGCAGATCCACATGCTGGATTTATCATCGCATATTCCTAAAGGCCACACCAATTTTGTATTCATTAGATGCAGTACTGTGTTTATTTCCAAAGTTAGGAATTTATATATATACACTACAGTTCAAAAGTTTGGGATCAGCAAGAGTTTTTTTTAAGAAGTCTCTCAAGGCTGTGTTTATTTGATTAAAAATACAGTACAAACAGTAATATTGTGAAATATTATTACAAATTAAAATAACAGTTTTCTATTTTAATATACTTTAAAATATAATTTATTCCTGTGTTGGTAAAGCTGAATTTTTAGTAGCCATTACTCCAGTCTTCAGTGTCACATGATTCCTCAGAAATCATTCTAACATGATGATTTATTATCAATGCTGAAAACAGTTGTGCTGCCCAATTTTTATTTTTTTTTTTGGAACCAGTGATACTTTTTTCGGGATTTGATGAATAAAGGTGATCAATTTAACATATCTTTTCTAAATAAAAGTTAAGTTATTAAACAACAACAAAAACATACTGACCCCAAACCTTTGAAAGGCAGTGTTTATTGTTACAAAAGATTTCTATTTTGAATAAATGCACAATTTTGAACATAAGACACTTATTTAAAAATTTGACTGATCCCAACGGTAGTGTATATAAAGAAATTCATACTTACATTCATAAAATACTCCTATTTTAAATAAATACTGTTCTTTTAAACTTTATATTCATTAAAGAATACTGGAAAAAACAACAACAACAATGAATCAGTTTTAACAAAAATATTAAAATATTAACAATATCATGTGACATTGAAGACTGGGGTAATGGCTGCTGAAAATTCAGCTTTGTCATCATAGCGATAAATTATTAAAATATAAAATGAATGAAAATAGAAAACAGTTACTTCAAATTGTAAACCGTGTCGTAAATTGTAATTGTACTTCAGTGATCTTTAGTCAGATGCATTTACATTGTGACAATGCCTCAGAGTATTTGCAATCAACTGTGTCGACTGTATTTTTGTTTACAAAAGTGTGACCCTTTTGGCCCATATAATTAGCCTCTTAGGTCAGCATCAGGTCAGTGTATCATGGGTTCTCCATGGGAGAGGTCCTATCAGGTCATCATGAGGTTACACTATCATTGGCTCTCCGTGGGGTGTTATCGTATTGTTTGTAGCACATTTGTTACCAGGTATAAAGGTCTGGTCTCACAGACAGTACCTTGGGTTAAGATTGTTTGAAGGATGACATGCTAACATCACTGCTGAAAAACTGCTACACTGCTACCTTCAGTAAATTCTTCTCCCCACAAGAACTCTATTTTATGTATTAGAGATATCTAGTACATTGGCGAGCCACCCAAACCAATGCTCAGCCAAACAAAATCTAACAACAGTGAGTAAGAGACCACAGTCAAAATCTTAAAATAATCTTAGGGACCCCAAACTTTTGAATGGTATCTGTATCTATCCGTATAGTCGTACCATTAAAGAAAGCCTCTCTCTCATCTTTCATATCCATACGAAAAGTGACAGGAAAAAAGTCCTCCAGCCTCATCCTCCTGCAACATGTAAACAAATTTTGTATGTAGATGGAGTAATTAAATAAAAATAAGAAGGAGAAGAATATTGCAGTGCCTACATATTTTGTTATGTTACTCTGGTACTATCAAAAAGTTTTTCCATTTATAACCTGTTTCCACGTCCATAGTTGACCTTGCTGCTGACTCTGTCATACTCCCTTAGGCTGTTCAGAAGACCTATCTTAGTGGTCAGGACCTTATTATTGGGTATCTGGTAAATCAACTGGCCACCTGTATGAAAATAAACAGTAATAAATGGTAATATGTGAATGGTAATAAACTTTTTTCATGATTGCTGTGAACCTGACATGACATAAAAACAGATCACCTGCTCTGAAGCTGTAGTAGGCAGCAGGTGATTTAGTTTCACACCACTTCAGCTTGTAGTCCGTCCTGGTCTTGTCACATATGCGCTGCCAGCCTCGACTCTCACAATATGACACAACTCTAAATATCAGATCAGACCAAGATATCTGTGTCATGTTTGAAAGGTTTTAAAAAATGGTTTGATAAATTATCAAAAAGTGGCAAATCTTTGTTGTAATATTTATTTATTCATCTCATGCTCCTCTCATGGACCTCTTGCAGACTAAAGACCAAGACAAACACCAAAACAGCAGTGTCATATACTTTAATCATATACTTTAAAACAACATAGAAAAATCACTGTTAAAAACAAATATCTATCAACTATATCCCACCCCAAACACCTTGGTCAAAGTTTTTTTTCTTCACTCACATGGAGGCCCCATTGCTCCCCCCAAAGTAGAAGAAGGGTCCAGGGCCCCTTGGATCTTCAGGCCGCTTGTCTCTGTCCCTCTCAACAAATGAGACACTCACTGATCCTGTACACACAAGATATACAAAGTAAACTTCACTTAAAAATAATCACCTAAAATAATACATGGACTGTATTTTTCATTATATATTGAGACAAATATTGGATGGAAAATTGGTAACTGTCCTTGTAAAAATCGCGAATACTGTAACGTGTGTCGGCTGGGGCGATCAAAGTTGCAGTAGTGGGAGACACCTGATCCGAGAAGGTGTTTAATTAATCTCACCTCCTCTTCCTGACCCATGAATGCACGCCTGACTACACTTAACCCTGTATCATGATGACTAGTTTGTTCGATGGCACTGAGCCAATACAGTCAATACTGATTAAATAAGTAATTTGACAATTACTGTGGCATTTTAGTTTTAAAACATATCAGTACTACCAATACTACAGTATATTAAATTTAGTGACAATTGTTTTTATGTAAATTATTAACCAGAAGCATCATTACTTTTTACAATTTTTTTAAACGCAAGATATTTTACAAACATAATAATAATAATAATAATAATAATTTCAAAACTAAAATAATTGTAAACATTAATTTCAAACATAAAATCTATTTTACAAGCAGAATTTATTTTATTTATTATTATTGCGGTTGTTGTTTACATTAAGTTACAGGTTACATTGTTTTATGGGTGCACTCAGTAATCTTTCCCTTATTAAACAAGTTGTAGATATAAATAAATAAATAATACTCAAAATATTCATTGTCAAATCAGTAGCCTAATACAAACTTTTACATGGAGCTTTTTGCCTCATGGGGGCAGCCATGTTGAGATCAGTCAAATACTACTCACTGTATCCCCTAATAAATGGACAGCATTTTCTCATTGCTTTGCATTTCTCATGTTCTCTATGCTAACAGTGCATTGACTAGTAAAGTACAGTACAGAATCCACGAGTGTCTCCTCATCTACAACAACACAAATACTCTTACACACCTGGCAGGGCTCCATCTGTATGTTTTACTCTGTGAATCTTCTGAGTGACCAGCCTTCTCCTTCGTGTCTCCTTGTTCTTCTCCATCTGCATTTCAGCTTCATTCCCATGTTGCAGCACCACAAACTCGACCCCAGCATTCAGCGGGCTGCCCTTCTCCTTCTCGTCTGATTGGCCCTGGTCGTCCATCGTCTGCTGTGAGTCTCCAAGGACATGCTGTGTGTCCTGTCTCTGTCCAGCACCTGGCTCTTCTCCGTGCTGACGGGGCTCAACCCAGCTCTCACATGACATCACAGTCACACCCCTCCAACCGGTCCAGATCTACGGAGAAAAAAAAAAAAGGATTTTCCACCAGCACTGCCCGACTGACCTCTGGAGAGCCAGTGATCCAGAAAAAAACCAACATCAGATATGCCTGGCTACGTTTCAGCTTGGTGAGTTATTTAATGTGGTCCCTGGAATAAAACAGAGGAGTTGCTTGAGAAAATAACCTTGAAACTGCAGTATCAAAAAATGCTTTGAGCTTAATTTACCAAAACAATACATTGATATCATGGTAAAATGTTTTTTAATCATTAATACATATTTAAAATGCATAATTAAAGACATCATATACTTTTAAGACACATTAGATACTATTTAACCAAGAAAAAGTTTATATATTTCAGCAATTATATATTAGCTTAGCAGCTACTTTGAATGTAGTAAATACAATTTTTAATGAACTTACACTGATTTTGGAGATCACAAAATGTTTTTTTTTTCTTCCTTTCCTCTTTTTACAAGTTCCTGTCTCCTCTGGGAACAACTATACTGTTGGTGTTTGTATGATATATCAGTCTAACATTGTTTGTTCAGTCCATGTACTCAAAAGACTTTTGGAGCATGCTAACTCAATGCTGACCAAACTAGCCAGGCCAATGTAAACAATTACTTGTTACCTAGGAAATGGGTGTCTTAGCAACAGCTACTACAGGCTAGAATCTCAGAACAACATAATCACTCCAGGAAATGATTCGCAGTGTTTGCAACCTAACACCATCCATTATTAATTGTCCTAGATCACTGTTTTGGCATTATAGTAATGTGAGAATGCATTTTCAAGCACAATGAATTGTCTGCACTGATACCGTTTGTTTTATCTCTCTTAAGCTATTGTGTTCAATTAGGTGTAAAACATACTAGCCATGGGGGAATTAGATCTATTGTTGGTTCAAACAAAACACACTCATCCTTACTGGTTCTTCTTTTCTTATTTTGTTCTATAGCATTAAATATCCTAATTTCAAAATGGATGAATGCCCTATTTAAAATTCAGAGTCAATGGGTTTAATTTCTTGCCTATTTATCTCTTTTTTTTTTTTTAGGATTGTGTCATCATGAGCAAAGCACAAAGGTAAAACATCAAACAAAGAGCAAACCCTTAATAAATATCAAACCCAAACACACCTGTCTCTATGCAATTACTCTAGAAAGATAGACGCTAAACAGACCTTCATATTCGCATTCTAATTGTGTTAACAATATTGTGTTGCATGAGACTCCTAAAGACAAGGATTCAATCTGTATTTCCACATGGTGATGTAATGATTCTATGAACTTTTTTTCTCATTTAATACAGTTTTTACATTAGAAACATATTATCGGCATAATAAATGAGTGTTAGAATGTCACGATCAACTTCACAAATTTACACAGACCTGGAAAAAGTGAAGAATATGAAATATTACTTTCTTTGTTTCATAATTCAAAAAATTTCGGTATGCTTCCAGGTTAAAGTTAGATTTTGATTTCCACATTTTGCAGTGAGGACAGAGATGTGAACCTGTATACATTCAGGTCCTGCAAATGCAGATCGAGATTTATTCTATATATGTTTTATATCCAGAGGTGCTAGTCATTTCCCACATATTCTAAATTTCAGGGTGTCTCCCAGAAAGTGTGAAAATTACTGCTCTTTATAACAACTGACTCTGGAAGACACACCCAGACACCAGTGGCAGTTAACTGTAATCCCACTCCTGACACTCCCCCCACAGTCCCAAAAATTTCATCTAGGTCTTGCTCAATGGGTAGAATTAATCCAGTGTGATTAGGAATTCATGGAGCAAAAGAACTGATTTTACACCACCCATTTCAAGAAATAGTTATACTTATTAGCAGAATACGTACTCACTCATAAAAAGCAGGTGATAAATACATATTTGAAATCGCCTGAAAATGTGAGTGGTGTTTGCCTGTGCAAGCCTTTCTAAGCTATATTATGAGGGTCAATGAATAAAAATGTTCTTTTTAATTTCAGTTAATTTCCTAATGTTTATAAACTTATACAAACAATTTAATTGTATAAAGTAAAGAAAGAAAAAAAACATTACATCTTGTATCACGTGAATATGTTTGTGATTGTCTTTTACTTGAGGTCACAAGCTCTTAGCCGCGTTTCCACTGTCGGGCCAAAAGCGGGCGTGCTAGTGCGTGCCAGGGCCAGTCGCGTTTCCACTGTCACTTCCGGGGCTTGATCGTGCCTCATCGGTGCTTCCTCGGGGCCAATGGCCCTGGGCCAAAGCGGGCCAGCTGGGGCTAGAGGAGTGGTTATGAACAAAGGCGGAGTTTCTCCGCGTCTGGAGAGCGTCAGCGCCGCGGATCATTTCATAAAGTTAACAGCTATAACACCAGTATTAAAGAGTTTTAAAATAAGTTTAGTTCAAATCTCACTTTCAGACAGCAGCGAGTGTTTGAAATAACTTGATCCGATGTATATTATGATCAACATACAAGGCAGAAATTTTTTATAAGCGATGCAAAAGACTATGCACGCTAACGTTACCATAGTAAACATGGTAAATATGACCGCTTGAAGAAATCAGACGTCAACTTCTTATTCACTATCACAATCGTGTATTTATTTAGTAACATATTTTATCTGTCAGTCTCGTCTCAAGAGTTTAGCTCCGTGTATGTCATAAAAAATATAATAATGTTTTTTGTTCGGGAGCTTTTATAAAAATATAGAAATGATCATTCTTTCTAAATGTGATGTATGTACTGGTTTCAGCCACACCTTGCCAGTAGACTGCAATCTGATCGACGCTGTGTACAGAGTGCTGTGTAGGTGGACACAAAAACAGGTTTGTTTTACAGCCATGTAACTCCCCTGGCGCACCATCTGCTTATGAGTGTGAGAGAGAGAGAGAGAGAGAGAGAGAGAGAGACAGACACAGACACAGACACAGACACAGACACAGACACAGACACTGTATATTTGTTTTTGGAGGACTGACCCATTCCTCATCATTGCCACCAACCAGGAAATACTGAACCATTTACGTATACAGTAAACCAATGAGCACTTTTTAAATATTTTTTTTTGACTTCTAAAACTCACCATAGCTTTGAGACACAATGGAGTGTGGAGGAGTGGACAGGAAAAGCAATGCATTTTTATGCCCTCAACAGTTGGGGAAAGAGTGATGTCATCTTATTATCATCATGCTATGCCAGCAATTACTTGTTTCTCAGTCACCAGAACTTGATTAACTGGTGTATTACTGAAGTAAATGAGGGGTGACATGGTTATTTTGTACAATGAGGAGCATTAATGAAATAAGGAACACAAGGCCCTTTCAAAATTTAATCTTAAAATGCACAGGAACAAAATTCAAATACAGATTAAAAACAAAAAAGTATAATTATCACTAAGGCTTTTCTTAAAGTGTTTGCTATCGCAGAACACAGAACGTTCTTAATAATCGAGAATATGTGGTTAGGAGTTGTGATAAGAACCCTTTGCAAACTAATCTGGGAGTTCCCTATCAGTATGACTACTTATCCACCTTAAAGCTATGTCACAGCCGTTTAAACACGTGTTCATCCTGACAGGCCCGTTCCACTTCATTAGCAATCCTAGGTTAACATCACCCTTGTTGGTTGGAATCTAGTTTGACTACATCTGAGCAAGCACAGACCGGTGCTGGAATTCTCCACTGTGTTTCTAGCAATGCGGAATTCTTTTGTGATGTCACACGATGGCAGGCTCTCCTGCTGTCTTCACTTGAACTTCTGCATACTTGTTTAACTCAATCTAATGCTCATAAACATTTTGTTTTATAATTTACCTAATTTTTATTTTAATGGCAAACAAACTTTAATAGATTCACAATTCTTCGCTTGATTATCCAATTACCATTAACTGGATAAATAGTTTCTATTATAATGCTGATGTACTGGATTATAGAAGTAACGGTACTGTAAGTGTAGCTTACACTAGCATGATAGGAAAACACCTGGGAAACACCTTTGCTACTGCTAAGAAATGTTTCTAATTGAATGAGTCACCTGAGTGCTTGGCAGCATTTAAGATCCTGTCTGGGTGTATCTCAACTATTAACATTAAATTATAATTATGGATTTAAAATAGGATCTCACCCTGAAGCCATGTGACTTTTCACAAAAATGTGATTACTCTAGAAATTTGCCAAAGAGTGAAAAATTTAAGGGGGTCTGAATACTTTCCGTACCCACTGTATATATATATATACATACAACAGATGCATTGACTTGACCAAAAGTGACAGTATCTTCACTTAAATTATTTATTCAACATTGATAATATTAAGAAAAGTTTCTTGAGCATCAAATCAGAATATTAGAATGATTTCTGAAGGATCATATGAAACTGAAGACTGTACTAAGCTGAAAATTCAGCTTTGCCATCAGACGAATAAAGTACATTTTAAAATATATACACAAATACAAAATGTTTTTTGTATGGTAAATTGTAATATTATTTCACTGTATTACTGTTTTAACTGTATTTTTTATCAAATAAATGGCGAGCATAAGAGACTTCTTTCCAAAACATTAGAAATGTACATTCAGATAATGAACAAAAGGTCCTTTGTAATTCTGAACATGGTTATTTTTAGTTGCTATACTACTACTCTAACCGATAACAAAAGAGATTTAAAGGTCCTTCCATGTCATAGTTTAAAGTTGGGTGCTAAATGCTGCATTATAGCAGCAGACAAAACCCTCTGTGACAGACTATTTCAGAGATAACAGAAATGGCAAATAAAGGGCCATTGTGTTGGTTTTGTATCAGAACTTTATTGAGCCATTGTGTCATTTTACATTCAAACTTCAAATGATTCATTCATATGACCATTCACAGCAGTTTGTGTTTGAGTACATAGGTGCATAAAGGTAAAAAGCTATTTTACGTATCATTGTCCTGCTGTCCTTGCACCTCACTACGACAGGGGCCTCATTGGCAGTGTGCTTTCCACAGCAACACAATGAGGTCCTTGCAGAACAGGGCAAAT